CATTCCTTTTGCCCCCCCCTGTCTGTACATGTGCATGTATCTCTATTTTTTTTTCTTCTTCTTCCTTACCTTTCCAGCGCGGGTAGAACAGAATCTGAGAGGCGCCCGCTCCACCATCAGGCAAAAGTCCGCCGCCTAAAGGCCAACAAACGTATATCTGGGCCGCACACCCGCAACCTCCTCCCAGCCTCCCCTCTCCTCCCTTTTCCCTCTCTTTCCTCTCCTCCCCCCCCCTTTCCCTCCATCATCCTTTCATGCAACTTGGCTTCTGCCAAATCTGACAAAATCCTTCTTCCTTCCAACGACGTTCCCAAGACGCTCTTTTCGAAAAGAAAAACACGGAGTTTTTTTTTTCCGACGAGCAGAAGAAAAAAAAACATCCACAGTGTAGTCGACGGTCGCCTTTGCTGGTTGGTCCCTCGACGCCTTCATAACAACTCGAAAAAAACCAACACAACAAAGCCGGCGACTTGCTCTACCAAGTCAGGAAAGATCCCGTCGTGGCTTCCTGACCTTTGCCCTCTTGCATTCTTTCCCTTGTCCTCCAAGGGAAATAACCTGTTCTGCACAATTTTGGTCATGCTCTTAGGACTACGATACTTTTTCTATCTCTCCTCCGACCACATACCAAGGTGACAGGCTTTAACATCGCATTCAGTCATCATACGAGACACCTGAACGAGCAACAAGAAAGACGAGATCCACCTCAAAGTCACAGAAGACATCCAGACATTCTTCCCGTCGATCGACCATCCACAGCGACCCCGGACACGCAAGCGCATGCTTTGGGAGCAGTGAGGTGGCTGAGAGAGGAGTAGATTGTCCAAGGGGGGCATTCTAGAGAGAAAAGAAGAAGAAAAATCACCGGAAAAAGAAAGAAAAGGGAAGATCAACCCACCGCAACATGAACACCTACCCATCACCTCGAACCCCTGGATCCACTCCCGTCTCCGACTGGGAGTACTCTCGAATGTCTTCGGCAACGCCCACGCCCTCGCCGAGGCCGAACTGGATCGATGCCCAGACGCCTCGGCGGCCGGCCACCCGCGCTGCGCACTCGAGGGGTAGCAGCTACTCGCACTCGGCAGCCTTCAGCCCCCGTCCGCCTCGCGACTCCCCGCGATACAACAGTTCCGGCGAGTATGCCACGGTTGATGTGAGTTATCAAGATTTCTTGTCTTCGCCGTCTTCTTCGTCGGAGCACTTCTTCCAACACTCCACCCCCACCGTCGCCAACAAGCGCCGCGAACGTCGCACCTCGTACTCTCATGGCCATCGCCATGCGCGGACTCCTACTCCCCATGGAGAATCCGACGAGGATGAAATCATCGAGGCCATGGGTCGGACCTTTGTCCTACCCGCCGCCGCCGCCGTCTCTGCCGCCGAAGCTTCCCACTCACGAGGGGGCCGAGGCCGCAGGGCCAGCGTGGCGGCGCCGGGTTCTGGAGAAGGCGCCGGCGGCGGTGTCCCGACTTGGCAGAAGCAGCAGCAGCAGCAGCAGCATCTTCATCACCACCACCACCGTAGCCGTCGCCACGATGACTACTACGATGCACCAACTTCTCCAACAACGGGCTACCATGGGGTACGGTACACTAATCTCGGCGGCTCCTCGCAGGACGCACCCTACTATGGCGCCAACGCCCGCACCCCAGACGACTCCGCCATCTACAGCCGAGCCCCTTCGTATGACGTCCCCCGCCCCATGGCCCAGCCCCGTCCGCCGACGAGCCTCGCCCACTCCCGCCGCGCGTCGGCCTCGACCTCGGTGCCCCAGAGGCCGTCGACCGTCCGCCCCACCGCGATGAAGCAGCCCACGCCCCCGCGCATGGTCAAGCCGCCACCGCCGCCCAAGGCCACCGAGGAGGACGCCGCCCGGCACAAGATCCCGCCCGGATTCTCTCTCAAGAACTGGGACCCGCGCGAGGAGCCCATCCTCCTGCTGGGGAGCGTCTTCGACGCCAACAGCCTAGGCAGGTGGATCTACGACTGGACCGTCTACAAGGTCGGCTCCCGCGAGCCCCTGGCCGACCTGGCTGGCGACCTGTGGCTCCTCCTGCTCGAGCTGACGGAGAAGACGAACAGGCTGATGCAGACCGGCCTCCGCACCCGCTCCAAGGAGAAGCGCGCCCTCGTGGTCGAGTACCTCGACTCGAGCGAGCGTCTCATGAGCACCTTCCGCCTCCTTCTCAAGAACTGCGAGGCCCCCATGCTCAAGGCCTGCAAGAAGAAGCAGACGGCCCTGGGCAAGAACTCGGGCATCGAGTTCGTCGATACCCTGTTCGGCAGGGACCGCGAGCTGATCCGCACCGAGAAGTTCATGCAGAAGGTCAGGACGTGGGGCATGCGCTTCGACGCGAACCTGACGTCCATTCTGGACAACCCCACGGCCTAGATGGTGTCGAGTGTTTGCTGTGACGGCAGCAACCTCTGACTCGGACCTCGGTCTCTACATGCTACGCTCCCCCCTCGGCATGTGATGACCCCCCCCCCCCCCCAAAAAAAAAAACAAGGAACCCCGCCGTCTTCTTACCATCCCTCATACTCCTACGCACCCCTTTCCCCCCATATCAGCTCCTCCTGGTCTCTTTTATACCCCATGATGATACCTCTTGACCAGCGGAATCATTTACAGAACCTCTCCTTTGTTGATTTCCTTACCGTCTTCTTTAAACCTTTACTTGGAGAGCCCTTGGAGAGAGAGAGCGAGCGCCATGGACCAACTCCAATATGGATCACCCCCTCCGGATACGACGATGTTGCCCAACCTTGGTTTCTTCTCTCCATCTTGGTGCTGCCCCCCAGGACTATCCCGAGGATTGACTGTTGCCGAGGCAGGGGATACTCCATCCACCGGATCTATCTGCCAAGGATATGTTTTCTTCTTCTCCTATATCATACCAGACCGGATCTCTTCTCTACAGGAAAACTTTCCCCCCTTGGACCGTCCTCTATGAGCAGAGAAGAGAAGAGGACAAAAAGGATGCACGCCACAGACCTGGATTGAACATATTTTCTTCTAATACCAAGAGCCACTGGGTCAAGGACTGTACAACATGTATTCTTTTTTTCAGAACTTCTGTCTCTGCTATCTGACGACCGCCTTGGACTACATGACCAGGATTTTCTTCTCATCTGAAGCGACCTACTGGATTTTAATCTTTCTTAACTACAGTTTGGGAGGCGACGGGTCGACATATTCCCCTTTTCTTTTTCTTTTCCTCTCTCCTCTCCTACGATATCCCTCTTTTTGCTTAAAGATATCCCGGGGCATCGAGCAGCGCGCAAAGAACGTTTCTGTCTCTTGTTTCCCCCCCCTCACTTCTCTTCTCTTAATTTGTTTTGGTTTATTCTCAAGTCTTGACTTGAGAGTTTTGACCCCTCCCTGCCCTCCCCCCCCCCCCCCC